TAATCAAGCATGAAAGTTGCCTCTGAATTTTCTCATAGCCGAGACAATGATAAGAAAATGGACAGGTTACTATTACATAATTGTTTCTATTTTATGTCAGGCATAATGGGTCAGGGGATCAGGCATCATGGTATACCCTGAGAGGAGTGTCTCCTTTCTTTACGCTGTGCATAAAGAATAGTATCTTCACCTGTAAAATTGTAAAAAACAGTCATATACTTCGCATAGATTGATCCTTAGTTTGCCTCCTCAGTAAGGGTAACACAATAAAAATCTACAGGACAAGCTCAAATTCTTCCATTCCTCTTTCGAACTTCTCCTTCATTAGTTCTTCCCCTGATCTAGCACCTGATAATCTTTTCAGAGCTCCTCTCTCTAAATGTATCCACTTGCCACCATTCTCTTTAGTCTACAATTGGGGCAAATATCTCCCTATTTACACTCCCCAGTTCTTACCAGTAGACAGTGGGGCCCATGCAAGTTAGCTCATGAGAGTCCAAGGATAATAACTGCAGTTCATCCAGTCTTCCCAGGATCCTGAACAAGAGTGAAATTATGGCTTCAAGGTGACTCTCCACAAAGCCTCCCTCATACTCTCAAGAACTGAGAGCAGGCAGTTTCCTTCACTAAAGGGAAATACAATGAGCAACATCTCTTGCACAGGGGACCTAACGAAGATAGGGGCTCCAAGGACAAAACTTTGGGGCTTCAGTCAGCACATTCCCCTTGGGACTTTAGAAACAGTGATTACTCTGAGCGACTTCTTGAGCCCCATGTTTACCATGTTATTTCCTAAGCTATCTTTTGAACCAAGAAACTGGCAGACATATCTGAGCTGCAATCTTTCTTTCTGCCTCTCGCAAGAGTAAAAACCTAAAGGTCATGCTGCAGAGCATTCCTGGAAAGGAAGCTGGTATTTAGATCTTTGTGGAGCCTGGGATCAGACTTCAGGGTAATGCCCAGGGGAGAACAAGGCCTAGATCTCTGTGTGCCATGTTAGGGCTGAAGGAAAGACAATTTAGTGAGTGGGAAATTTAGAATGTAGAAGCATCTCTCTGACTAATGCACCAAGTGAAATGTTGGATCTCTGGGCTTCAATCTCCCTATCTATAAATCGGTCTGTCAAGACTGGATGAATCAATGGTCACATGAAGATTCAGACCTGTAGGGCCCATTTCAGGAATAAAAGCTGCAGGATTTGAGAACTGTTTTCAGTTTTTGTTACCTGTCAATTTTGTCCAAAGTAATTGTATCCTGAACACTTATCACCTATTTCTCAAGTTCATAGAAAACCAGTCTGAGTAAGTTAGAACAGAAAATATACTTTGCTCTCGAGATGGAAACTTTGAGTTTAAATTATGTCTGTAGAGTGACATCAGAAACATGGCAGAGTGAGAGACGTCCACAGATATCTCCTCTTGAAACAACAATAAGCAGAATATCTAAAACTCAACAACAAAAAAAAGAAACCAAACTGCATACCAGCATGTCTGAGAATGAGATCTGTGCATAAGAGCTACCACAGATAAGAACCTCTGGAGTCGAGCATGGACTGGGAGAAACAAAGAAGCTGCCTCTTGCAGCTGGAGCTCCCTGCAGGAGGAGGGGGAGACGGGAAGGTGCGGCGAGTTCCCTGAACAGCCCTGCCTGGGAAAGCTGTGAGCTCCACACAGCCATCAGCTGTGCCCAGGCATCAGGGCAAAAAGCAGAGAAATGGGGATGGCAGAGAAGCAGGGACAGCAGAAAAACAACAGTTGATTATTACCAACCCAGTTGCAAAACCCCAAGGCTGAGCCACAGCCCCCAACCGCCAACAGAGAGGGCCCCTCCCCACAAATCCTCCAAAACCAAACACCATGGAGCTCCAGGGGAATCTGAGAAAACACTATCTAAACTGTTTCTAACACTGACAGGGACTGACACTGAGGGTAGCTGGTGTAATTGAATATCAATTAGGAAAAAAAAGGCATTATTAAGACTGTATAAAGCAAGGATCCAAGAGGATTAGACGTCATCTGCTGGAAACAAAAGAAAAATGCTTTCTTTGCAACAGGCTAAAGAGAGACCTTTATATAATAAATCTTCTTTCTGGAAATAAAGCAGAATACAGTTCCATTAATGCCCAGGCAAAGAAACAGTCCATTAAACACCATGAACAACCAAGGCGACAAGGCAGCTAAGAAAGAAAGAGAAAAATCTCCAGAAAATAAGCTTAAAGACATAGAAATATGTGACTTAAATGTCAGATAATTCAGGATGGTATTTCTGAAAAAACTCTATGAGATCCAAAGCAACTCATATGAACAATTTCAGGAATTGAAAAAAAAAAAAAAACTAGATGAGTGGAATGAGTTCTTTAGCAAGAAGATTGAAAATCTCAAAAAGAACCGAATAGAACTTCTGGAGATGAAGAACACACTGAAAGAGGTGAAAAATGACATAGCAAGCTTGAGAAATACA